CCCCAAAACCCCAAAACCCCAAAACCCCAAAACCCCTTTTCAGGGAAAGCTTAGAGAAAAATATTAAAATTTAAAATTCGAATAGAAATGTCCAACCATTTTGAGTACAAAATTAAACTAGAACCCAGAAATGAGCCTCAGCCTCCAACAATAGAAGTTTATGGCTTTACAGGAATAGAAGATGACGGTAGTGAAGTAGCCATCAACCTCAACTACAAGTTACTCGGGGAGATAAACTTATAGAAGAATATAAATGCCCAGAGGACTCAGAAATCCTCGCTATAACCTCCCTCGAAAGCACCCCTGCCTCCCAAGACCTCCTCAACCTAAAATCCCCTCCAAATTCCCAAAATAATCTCCTAATATTCTACATCTCAAACAACTCAAATTTCGAAAGAGTCTTCATAATAACAACCTGAATCTCTTCAGGTTATTTCTCACACGAAGAAGTCCATAGTTTCAGTACAAAAATCCTCTGTCTGTTCCCATACTCTACTTGTCTCACCCAGGTTGCCCTGTGTGCCTACATTGAGACTTATAGTATTGACAAATTTACACAGAAGAGAATGATCATCTGTATCGGATATGAAGACACAATCTTTGAGTATATTCTTACGACTAAGGAATGGAGAATATTTGTTAATGAATATTCTTACATGACTCAGGTGTCTTATATACAGCAGCTAATACCAACTTATAACCCTGATGGAGAAGGGACTTTTATTGTCATGGTGTTCAAGAACTTGACACAACACCTCGCTCCCCTCAACTGTTCCTGAATCCGACTCATCCCCAAAGACAAACCAGCCATCGAGCCGACAACGTTCAACCTGACTTCTATCGAAGCCCCGATAAACGTGCTTGGCTTCAACGACAACATTGTGATCCAGACCAAGTCAGAGCTCATCATTTTCAACTTGACGAAAGAGCGAGACCTGATCATTCCGCTGAAGCAGGACGACCACCCCGAACAACTCGTCGATGTGTACATCGACACAAAGTCCAGAATATATGCGGCTTCGTGGCACAAAATTCTGTTTGTGTCTCTGAAGAAGCAAAGCTTCGAGATTGTCTACGAACGAGAAGACGTCGTGATCAGTAGCATTCTGCACATTTCTGAGAGCTTCTGTGCATTCAGAAACACATTCGAGAACATCCAGATTCTTGAGGTCAAGTCGAAGAATGACTTCAGTCACACAAAGACAGTTGAAGCTGATGTCTTGCCATCAATATACAAGTTTACTGTTCCGGAGCTTGCAGTGAAGATCTACGATTTCACAGTGAATTCTGATCTCATCATTAAGAGAAGAGAAACCAGGAATTTGACACTTCCTTACAAGATCCTTGGCTACAAGACTTATCCTGACGGAAAATATCGGTTTTGATTGTTCATTGGAAGATTGGTGCAAGACAATACTCTCTGGCTCTTGTGATATGATCACACTGGACACAAAATTATTCACCAGTGTCAGCTCCCTAACTTTTACAACCCAGTCAGTCTGTGTTTCAGTCCGAACAGAGACAAGGTAATCATTCTAGCTTCAAGACAAGGAGAGCAAGACCTCAACCCAACAGATAGCGATGACTTTGCAACAGTTCCGTTCCAAGACCATTTGGTGTATTATGTGAATATCGAAAGGTTCAAAGTCAGAATGGATGGCAAACTAACTAAGCACATGTACATGTCACTCAACAAAATAAAATAACATCGGTAAGGACTCCCCTCCTTGGCAAGGTTTTAGTCAGATGCATTGTGTATTTGATCAAATTGTTGTCCAGAATATCTTTGGGTCAAAGATCCACATCATTGTAAAGTTAACGTTTGTATAGATGCCACACCATCTCAAGGCTGTCTGCCAATATTCACAACCCTGATGTGCCACATCAAAGATGGGGTATATGCAGTTGCAGTTGGGGACACAGTCAACTTCTATACTCTAAATGATGATTTCAAAAGAGTTTGTGAAGTCCCTGAAATTGTTGTATCTGACTCTGAAGCGAACATTCTACTGAAAGACAACCAACCTGGTGATTCCAGAGTTGGTCAGGCTTCTTCGAACTTGCTTAAAGAAGAGATACTCTCGCTAGAAAAATATGATTTGCTTGATAAAGAAGTCATCAGAGCTATCAAAGTATTCCGAGACTCAGTAGACACATTGAACTCAAAATATTTTCTGATTATAGTCTCTAACATGAAGGTTTACCTGTATCAGATCAGCCTTCCACAAAACGACTTTATGGCATCACCTCTCTTTGAACTTTTTGCTGACGCAAAGCCTGATGAAATCGAGAGCATCACTCATTTATTCATTGGAAGTATTAGAATCAACACAAGCTGCGACCCCGATAAAGTCAGGATCCTACCAGTCAGCAAAGACAGGGTTGTCCTTCACTGCCAACAAGGACAAATCTGGCAGCTTTCCATCAAAAGAAAACTTGACTTCTATTGTAAAGCCGTAGAGTTCAGCATTAACAAAGAAGTGTTATGGAGCAGACCTCAGAAAGATAAGAGAGCATTCCTGGATCTCCACAACAACAAAGGCAATGACTTCGAATGACGACTGCTCCTTCAAGGAGTCATCGACTTCATTCCTCTTAAATTGGCCAAATAGCACAAAAAGCTGGTCGCACTTTTTTCAACGAAATTTTGAAATAAAGGGGTTTTGGGGTTTTGGGGTTTTGGGGTTTTGGGGTTTTGGGGTTTTGGGGTTTTGGGG